CCTGGCCGTTGCTCAGGAGTGTGGCTGGCATGGCCAAAGGTGTTCCACGTACCTCCTGGAAAAAAAAAATGACTGAGACAGAAACACTCAGCTTAGCCTACCTTACAGGGTTGTTGTGAGGATAAAATGGAAGAGAGGGAAATTATGTAGGCTGCTTTGGTCCCTGTCAGGAAATAAGTAGATATTTTTCTGACCTGAAAACAGCCCCAGGGAGCTACTCTTTGCCTGATATGTTTCCCCCAGTGACCAAAGAGCAGCTCTCTGGGGCCATTTCAGGTTTAAAAAAACAGCACAGGGTGGGAAGCTCAACCCTCCCTCCCTTTCTCCAGTCCTGGTCAGAATCAGGCCCTGAGTACCTGCTAATTGCATTAAAAAGAGAGCTGGGAACCCCAATCACGAAACTCCTAGGCCTCGTCTTCTCCTGGCCCGCTGGAGCAGGTCTTGCTGTGGTCCCTGCTGCCAAAGTGCATTAAGGACAGGCTAAGACCAGCTACCTCTGGCAAAAATTGCTTCCCACTCCTCAGAAGAACAGTCTGATCTCAGAAAGGCTACCGGTAAGGCCAGGAAGCAGTGGCCCCCTGCCCAGGTAGGCTGGTTTAGCCTGCCAGGGACATTACTGCATGACTTCTGAACCTAACTGGGAAAAGTGTGCATGCACACGAACGCTCATACCTTGAATAAACCTTTGTTGGTCTTAAAGGTACCACTGGACCCTAAATTTGTTCTACTGTTTTAGACCAAAACAGCTGACCACCTGGAACTATTTTCTGAACCTAACTTCTGATATGCACCAATATGGTGAACTGAATGCCTTCAGTTTGGGCCCCAAGTCCAAGGTTTCCACAGGGCCTCTCAGTGACAAGGGAGGGGGCATGGCTGAGACTAAGGAGGGAGACAAGGAAGGAAGATAATGTTTATTTCACAACGTACTTCCAAAAGGCATCAAATCACTGTTTAATATAACCTCATATAAAACTGAAGCAGCAGCAATTTTTACTGAAGTACCCTAAACTGAAATAAGTCTTAGAACATAATTTAAAAACAAAATCCCCCAGCAAGAGTAGCAAAATATATGATTTTTTTTTTAATATAGCAACTGATACCTACCAGCCACTAGTAACTTACTACCAAAGTGATATTATCTCTGGTAACAACCTTTTTTTTTTTAAAGACATGTAAATATATATTCATATTTATACATTTTGCAGCTATGTACATAAGATCCGTGTTGTTGTTTGTCGTCATAGCACTGGCTTCGTTTGGCTGCCACTTTATGTCAGTGCTGTGAAGATTTTGTACCTGATTGTATACAAATTCAAAGTAGTGGAATTAAGAAGCTGTCGATGGTGATACTGGTTCGGAAACAACGTACCCTACCAATAGGCACTCTGCTTGTTGCTGATGGCACTTGACTGCATTAAAACTTGCCCGTTTCCAGCCGGATCCAGAGGGTCGTGGTGCAAAAGGGCTTTGGATCCCAGCTCTGCTGTTAGCTTATTGAGTTGTCAGAAGGTGGTTCCTTGGGTTTCCAAGTAAGAAAGAGAAAAGAAAGAAAAGCTCCTCTTCTCCCGGGAATGTAAATTCTTCCCAGAGTCCTTTTCAGAGAAGTGACAGCACGGTGCCAACTACAAATCAGTCTCTGGGTCTCTTTGTTTTGTTTAGGCACTGGCCAAAAGGTGAAATACTCAAGCACACATTTCCTGCAAATGCCTCTCCCAGATGTCAAGGGACTGCAATAAAGGTGGCTTGAAGAAGATGATCAGATGCTGAAAGGTTTAGTGATTCAGAATGAAGTCTTCACAATTCATTAATACAATAGCCAAAGTTGACTGACAGCTTCCCAGGTGGCCCTCCACCACCAGCCCTGCTGGAAGGGAAGTGTGTGCGTGCATGCACTCTCACACTCACATACGCATGTGACTCATTAACATACGCACATTGCACTCATATGCCCAGAGGGGTCGCAAGTGTCACATGGAAGCTATGGTATCAGCGCCTCTTGAGTCCGCCATTGGCAAGCTGAGGTGGGTGTTTGGGGAGACATGGTTCATCCGGGAGGGGATCATGGGAAAACACAGAGTCCTCTCCTGAAGAGCAGGTTGAGCTGCGGGTGTCTGGAAAACTGGGCGAATACTGGTCCAGTGGCATGGAGAGATCCAGGTACTCCTAGAGGGAATGAAAGTACCATGAAACATTCAAGGTCCCTGGAAGTGAGGCTGGTTTGAAGGGTGTCCAATCCCAGATACAGAGAAAGTCAAGCAAAGTCCCCTAAGAGACATGTTAGCAGAAGTTCTCCACAGACACAAACTGAAACAAAGCGCCAGGGAGATGATTCAACTTGAGTTTTCCACATCCAACAAAAAACAGGCCTAACTTACAGTACAGGCACCAAAATGCCTATTTTGGCAGTCCTCAGTTTGCACTTTGCACCAGAACCCACATGATAAATGGGAGTTCTCAACCTCGGGGCCCCAAGCCGTAAAGCATCCCTAGCAGGCACTGTGCCAAATACTTACAGGGCCCCAGTTTGCTGCACAGGCTGAGATTCTAGCTCTGATTTTTAAGTAATGATCTAATCAGTCGCTTCAAGAAGCACAATGGCCGCCTACAGTAACGGAACGACGCACAAACCCCATGCTTAAATTTAGCGGGATCTGGTCATTAGAAAAAGAAGTCAGTTACCTGGTTAGAGGTCATGGCCACAATCCTATCTAAATCTTCTACCAGCTGCTTAAAGGTGGGTCTCTGGGAAGGAACAGCATGCCAACAATCTCGCATCATCATGTACCTGGAGGAAAGAGACGAAGAATCAGTGCATGGCAGTGCAGCCAACAAACAAAAAGCACTAAGAACCCAGGACAAGGCGAGAGAGGGTTCAAAGCCCACACTGGACACAGCCTCGAGTTCTCAGTGCCAGACTGCACCGTGCAGTTCAGAAAAGGAAGGATTGAAAGACTGCATCATTTCCAAGCACTGCACGGGACCACACTATCGCTGAACGATTTTAGAGCCTCAAAAATGAAACCAGGGCAGTGACTGAATTGTTTCAATTCCAGACAAAAATTAAAGCAACAAGTTTCCACTTCTGACTGTTACTAAGAGAGAGAGAAAAGACAATGTGGACAAATTTCTATTAGAGACTTAGGAATCAGAGGAAGTCCAGGCAGACTGCTGCTTATGGGGTGAAATTTTTAAATACACCGTCCTTGCATTTGCCCAATGTGCTCCCTATCCTCATTGTTTCGTAAACCTCTCCCTGCCTTTCCATCTCCATGCTACTGGGGCAGCTCCAGATTTTGAGGGCATCTGAGCAAGTCACCACCACTGCAGACCCTTTACTTCTGATCTGGCAAGGTCCAAACCGCCCCCCCCCCAAACAAAACAAAACCCTGAGCTCCACAGTGCAGGAGATTATGGGGCATGTCCTCTCTTGGGTTCCCCTAAATCGTGGGGCCTGCTGTCAGCTATTTACAGCCTCCTCATTCAAAAATCCTGCAGAAATATGATCAGATTTTCAATATACTATATTTTGCGAATATTCTAATAGAAGAAGAAGAAGAGATTGGATTTATACCCCGCCCTTCACTACCCAAAGGTGTCTCAGAGCGGCTTACAAACTCCTTCCCCTCCCCACAACAGACACCCTGTGAGGTAGGTGGGGCTGAGAAGAGCTCTTGACAGCAACTGCTCTTTTTCAAGGACAGCTCTTATCAGAACTATGGCTTGCCCAAGGTCATCCAGCCAGGTGCAAGTGGAGGAGTGGGGAATCAAACCCGGTTCTCCCAGATTAGAGTCCGCGCACTTAACCACTACACCAAACTGGTGTATATATAATACATATATAGAACTGAAAGTCAACAGTAAAACATGACTTTGTTGTTCTTTTGTTTTAGAACAGAGTTCTCCGGGACTCCCAACACAACCTGGATAAACAAGAGGCACTTTGGCTTTTTAAAAGGATGAGATAAATTCTAAGAAAGGATCTGAGTTAACCAGAGGTCATCACAAGGCAGGCAGGATGTGGCCAGGTTTCTTGCCTAGGTCCCAAGGCTTATGGTGGAACGCACGGCTGCTGGCCCACCTTCTCATGTGCCTTCCCACTCTTCTGCTACCCACTAGCTTGCAAGTACTTCACTAGCCATGCTCACAGCTGCAAATCCTGCCCACTGTTGCCAGGGGAGAGCACAGCAGTGGCGCTCCTGCAGACCACACCAGTAGGACTCCCAGCTGCACACGCTGCTCAGTGTTGCCAAGAAAAAGGGAGTGTAGGTAAGCAGGCAGTTGTGATCCCTGATGGCAGGAGGGCTTGCAAGCAGGCAGGGGAAGGACACACAGGCATGCAGGTGGGCAGGCCGAAAGGGAAGCATGAGTCGGGGGGGGGGGTCTGGTAGTGGGCAGAGAAGGGGAGTGGGGACCCCGGACATTCTCTGCCTGGTCCCCAACTAAACCTGCAACCAGTTCTGGCTGAGCGCTCCCCTCCCTCCCATGAATACAGCTGCCACAGACTAGACGATCAAAGGGAGGGCAATCAGTGGCCAGGCACCCCTGCCATTGTGCCTGGGTCCAGCTCAGCTGAGAAGCCCCTCCCCAAGGAAACGTTTCACATTTATCTTCAGTTACTCATTTAGTTGGATATTAATCCATGGGAGCTGCTTTGAGAGCCAATTTCTGGTTGAAAAGTGGAATAAAAAACATAATGAATGAATGAGTTTGTAGCGGCAGCATATCCCCGATCACTGCATGCTGGGGCCATCCAGTAAGGCACACCACCTCATTCAAGCCCTTCTTGTGAGTTTCACGGAGTGTTGTGAGTCAGAGCTCAGCAAAAGTGAGGACTCCTCAGGAGAAGGGGAACCTTGTGTAGTCAGCTCTGAGTCAGCAGAAGCTGGCAAGCAGGAAGATGAACTTGTCAGGATTCACAGCCAATAGGTGGTGCAGGGCCACTGATACACTCCAGCCCTGATCCAGCAGGTGAAATTCAGTTAGTTGCTCCCAGCTCTCCATTATCACCCACACCCTTAGAATGCCACGTACAAAGACTAAAAACAGAGCTACAAGAGAGACGGCAAAGTGCATGCCTCCTGGCCAACGTTCCCTCTAAGTTGTGGAGTCTTGTGAGCAAAAATTCTACTGTGTGAGCTGCTGGCATTAAAGTTGTGAGTGAGCAATTTGGCTACTGCATATATTAGTTTGCTGTGGAGCCACCCTTCCCGAGCTAAGGCAAAAATGTGTGAGCTGGAGGCTAAAAAACTGTGAGCTAGCTCACACTAACTCAGCTTAGAGGGAACACTGCTCCTGGCCTGTGACGCCAGCTGCTTGCTGATAACACAGAGGAGCAGTTGCAGGACTAGTCCTGGGCAGATAGCTGCAAGCATGAACTTTAGGCGTGGGGCTATAAAAACCAGCCAAGGGAGGCTGTTAGGCCTGAAAGCAACAGATACAATAGATGCTAAGCCACTGACTCTGCCTTGACTGATTCTTGGAACCTGACCCTTGGACTGGATAACTCTACGTAGCCTGACTTCTGGATCCCTGACCTCTGGACTAAACTTTGGAAAGCCCTCTTGTCTGTCACCTTTGGGAAACAAGATGCTGCAACCTGAGACCAGAAGCCTGTGGGTCAGTACACAGAGGTATGTTGGACAAAGAAAGCTAGATGACAGTAGAGCCAGCAGGGTTGCTCTCCTTACCAGACTCAGGACAACCACTTATACAGGCACTGCTACCCCAGCTGTTCCCACTAATTCTCCCACCTGGACCACCAGGGACCATGTCTTCTCAGTGATGGCACCTCACTTGTAGAACTCCCTCCCCACCCCCATTTGTCTGACACCAGATGAAAAAAAATGCTCTTTGACCAGACAGTTGGTGGAAACTTGGAGAGGATGAAGAGAGATTTTGCTGGAGACTGTGTTTCTTGTTTTAGTCAGCCTCAAGTATTGGATTATATTGAGTTGGTCTTGCATGCTGCCTTGAAGAACTTTGCTTAGTTGCTGAGGTACCAATATACTCTAAAATAAATGCATTTACTTGGTTTGCATGATGCTTTACAACATCCAGTGCACTCACAGAACGACCATGAGCCATTACTTAAGGCTAAGCATCAGTCCTTCTCATTAGCAGTTTGGGGTGGAGGAGGGTGGCAAAGAGAGAAATCTCTCGACAACAGCCATTAGCTGGGCTGGCTAGGATAACGTGGGAAGAGACGGAGGCTCGGTCAAGACAAAAGGCTGAGTTAGCCCCCCCACGAAGCGGTCTACTGGGGGTCAATTTGGGATACACTCCCGCTGAGAAAAACAAAAATAAGAAGGACAAGAAGTCTTGGTTTATTATCACGCACAGCTTTCAGCAGGGGCTGGGAAAATAAAGCTGAACGCCTGCCAGTCACCAGAGCATGCATCTGCCAGTCAGCAGGGGTCCTGTTATGCCATGCTGGGCCGCCGAGCTCCCGGGGCTTTTTGACATGCTCTCTCTCTCTCTCTCTCTCTCTCTCTCTCTCTCTCTCTCTCAAGCTTGGCAGCAAAAGACATCTCGTGAGCGAGTGTGTGGACCAAATGTTACAAACCAGCTGATTCAGAGCAGCTCCTGGACCAAAATAGTCAGTCAGAGTATTGTTATGGTCCTCACATCCTACCTACTAGCTTCCCAAATTCAGTCCTTGGCCTCTTATTTGAAAGGTCTCAGGTAACAAGTGCAGGGACAGATCTGCCAGAGGTCTTGCAAAACGGGCAATACTGAATGTCAGGACAGACCAACTAGATTAGATGTTCAAAAGCTCAACCCCCCCCCCCCAGTCTTGTTGGTCTTTACGGTGCTTCTGGACTCAAATCCAGCTGTTCTACTGCAGACTAATACATCTACCCTCTGCAATGATCTTCAGGACAGACCAACAACCTGTCTTGGTTATAAAGGTTATTGGAGTTCTGTACCACATGCCCTCAAGAAATGAGATGAGGCTTCTCAAAGCTTTCGCAGCTGTAGCCCCCAGGCTATGAAATGGTCTCTGAAGAGGAAGGTTTGTCCCTCTCTTGGGCTGTCGTGAAAAGAAGTGATAATATGTATTTTATTGACAGGAGTATCTAGGAAGTTGGGATGTGTAGTTTTCAAAAATGGATGGAAGTTGTTTTAACTTGAATTTTTTTTGGGGGGGGCGTTGTTTTTTGCTGCTGCATTTTTTATTTGCTTTATTGAAGCTATTGTTCGTGCTCTAATTTTAATTTGCGGGCACTGCCTCAGGCGGAAGAAGCAGCAGGATACACTTCTGACAGATAAATAACCCATTCCATCAATCCCACACAGCATGTACCATACTCTGTTACCACTCTCTGCAAGGGAGGAAAGGAGGGAGGAAGGCCAGATCCAGCACGGACACGCCCATTAGAGGAATGGGTATAAAATGGTAAATGGTTACAGCAGATGGCTGAAACAGACGCAGGAAAGTAACCCCCTCCAGCATTACTACTAACAATGAGATGCAACTGCATAAAGAGCATAATTCTAGTTTGCAGAAACTTTTTTTTACGAGGAATTGGGGGCACTTCATTCACAACAGCTCCCTGCCCAAGTAAAAGTAGCCATTGCTTCGGAGCCAGTAAAGGGCTGAGAGCCGCAGGAATAGCCATTCTACTTTCTGAAATGTGCAGACGATTGGTGGCAGGGTGGGCTTTCAGCAGCTGAAAACGAGGTCTCCGAGTGCTCTGCCCACTCCCCAGTAACAATGCCTAGACGCTGATACGAAAGCCAAGTACGTGACCCTTCCCCCCCCCAAAGCTACAAAACCCCACACTCACAGTTCATTGGTGCAATTGCTGGGCTTGTCCATCCGATGTCCCTCTTTCAGCAGCTTGAAGAGCTCTTCCACTGGCACGCCAGGGTATGGTGATCCACCCAGGGTGAAGATCTCCCACAGCAGAACACCAAAGGACCATCTGCCCCAGGAGCAAACACACTGTTTTAAAGCGGTTCTCTCCCTCCACTCCCAACCCAATAACAAATCCATGCAGACCTTCCCCATAAAACCAGAGCTTCTTCACAGATTCCATCCGGCAGGTAAGCCCTGCACTGATTCCAGATGTGGCACTTCCACACAGGCACCTACAGGTGTGTGGCATCCCCACCCTACCTCAGTGTGTCCTGTGCTAGCCTCCCTTTTAAGAAACTAAGAGGGGCCCAAAAGGTCCATCTAGCCCAGCGTTCTGTGTCAAACAGTAGACAATCAGATGCAAGACTGCAAGAAGAATGTGGCTTTCTCCGTTTGCCCTCTCAGCCTCCCGTTTTCAGAATGATTCTGGCCTCTCTATATGGTGGTTCCACCCAACTATCATGATCAACAGCCATCGATGAGACCAAATCCTCCATGCATTTGCTTAATCCTCCCTCAATTTTTTGTCAGAGAAGGGGAAAGAAAGGTTCTTTTTACTAATTTTTTTTTAATTCTCAAAACAAGGGGGGGAACACTCAGATGGACAGCCAGGCAAGCAGGCAGCCACAGACTCCAGACAAATAAACCTTGTTGCCAGATAATATAGATTGAAAATACCATGCCTGCTTATTGTAATTAGCATTTCATTAAGTGAGGATGAATCACATCTGGTTTATTTCACCTTTGGGGATAATACCCAACATGCCAGACTTAATTGGGGATGCCGAGAGGCTTTAAAGGGGCTGCTCGCTGCACACAAATGAGGCAGGGGAAGGAGGGAAGGATGCCGTCGAAATGAGACAAGGAGGGACATAAGCAAAAAAATATACTCCAAGGGGGAGTCATAAGTATAATGAGATGTAAATAGTGGGGTTGCCAGAACAGTTGGTATCTTAGAGCTCAGCTGTAAATACAGTGGCAGCAAAAACTCTGCAGATGTTAGGGGGGGGGAACACGGGGCCCTACTTTTCCCTCCAATCCCCTCCTCCCTATCCCTCCCACAACTCACCCGCAAGAGACAGACCTTCCAAGGACTGAGCAGATGGCTAGTGGGAGCCCCTGGCCCAGTGGCAGGGCACATGGTTTGCATGCAGAAGGTCCCAGGTTCAATCAATGACATTTTTAGGCTAAAAAAGTGCTAGGAAACACCTTTGCCCAAGACACTGAATAAGCCACTGTCACTCAGATTACACAGCATAAACTAGACAGATCATAGTCTGACTCGGGAGAAGGCAAGTTCTTTTTTTTAAAAAAAATAATTTTTTAATTAGTTTTTTTCCATACGGAGAAGGCAAGTTCTTAATATTCTGTCAAACTAGAGAGATACTCACACATCACTTTGATGGGTGTATATCCTGTCAAACAAAGCCTCGGGGGCCATCCACTTGACCGGCAAGCGACCCTAGAAAGCAGGAAAGGGCACGACATCAATCCAAGGCCCGGCAGAGAGGGGGGGGGTGCAAGGGAGATGTGACTAATGCAAAGAATAGCAAGGGCAGGCGGTGCAAGGCAGAAACGCTGCACGGGCAGGGTTCTTACACCCTCTGGATTTAGGAATGTTTCAGGGTTATTCTGTCTTGCAAAAACGTCTGACTAACCACAGTTAGGGGAGAGGTCTCTATTTGGATGATCACAGTAACAGTAACAATAGCTAGTTTAAACAAACCATGGTTTTGTGTGATGTCTAAATAAAGCCCGCCAATCCCCACTGTAAAAGTAAGGGAGACATCTCTCTCCCCCCCTCCCGAACAGAATAACAACAGACCCTGGAACTAGTTTCTCCCTAAAGGCTTGGGTTTATTGTTTGAATCATCTACTTGCTCTAATTAAAGCTGGAGGGAGAGAGATTTACGTCAGGAAAAGAGTGTTAACCCTCCGCCCTTTCTCTTAGAATTACAGCATAACTAATTAATTAAAACCAACCAACCCACCCACAGGAGATCCTGATCATGGATCTCTTTTGTCATGTCTAGTTCAGCCCTTTACCATGACATCTTTCTACAGTCCATCTGTTCTAAGGCTGTGGCACACCATGATGTCCTGGAGCCAGGAAAGGGGATACCTATCTCAGAAAGACAGACCTAGAAGGACACACACAAACCCCACACTACTCTGCTATTGCTCGCCTCATACTTTTGCCTCTTGCAAAGCAACAGACCCATCATATACCAGGCTGCATGTACTCTGACCTGTGGTCTGAAGGTACATTTTATTTTACTTTATTTATACCCCACCTTTCTCTCCAACTGGGACCCAAAGCACCTCTCCTCCATTTTACCCACACAACAACAACCCTCTGAGTTACAATAGGCTGAGAGTGTGTGACCGGCCCAAGGTCACCCAGTGAGCTTCCATGGCAGAGTGAGGATTTGAACCTGGGTCTCCCGGATCCTAGTCCAACACTAACCACTATACCATGCTGACTGTCAGACACACACATGATGCAACAACCATGCTAAAGCCAAGCAAGCCTGGATGTGGTTTGCCTGCGGCTGGGAGAGAGACAAATTGGGAATCCTGCAAGGAATATGTTGCGCTTTCTGGAGAAAAGGTGGGATAGATGGACAATTAACTCTGTGCATATTAACAATGGAAATGAGCTTAATTTCCACAATTTACTTCCCCTATTCAATCATTTATTACAACTGTACCCCACTCTTCCTCCAAAGACCTCTGGGTCTCCCCTCCTCCACTTTAATCACTGGGAGACCTACAGGGTGCTGAAGTCCTATCTCCTGACCAAGTGGAATCTTCTTCCCCTTGGAAGCTGAGGATCAAAGTGGGTGTGATTCCAGGAGACCCAAGAACAGCTTGGAGGTGGGTGGTGGCAGCAGAGATCTGGAAACTAGTACAGGCTACAGTGGTGGCTGCATGCACTCCCCACGGGAGATCCATTCATTCACAGACATCTTGTCTAGTTGAGCCATGACATAAGCTTGTCACCCAATTACTTCCCAATTAGCAGAAGCTCAAAATTAATGCACCCAATTCAAAGAATTCAACTTTTCATTAATCCACAACAAATGAATTAATTACACTTGTGTCCCTGTGATGTAGATAGGGCTCCAGGCATCATACCAAATGACACACCTTTTCTGTGCTCACATGGTGCAGCAGAACAAATACAACCTTGTTCCATGACGTCCGTGGCCCTGGGAAATCACCCTCCCCTCCATCACGCGCCACTCACATTTGTTGTCTTTTTGTAGTAATCTATGTGATGAATGTCTCGAGCCAGGCCGAAATCGGCAATCTTCATCACACTGTCTTCAGTCACCAGTACGTTCCTGGCAGCCAGATCTCGGTGGATGCACTAAGGAGCAGAGAGAAACTCTCAGGGAACTCCAAAGAGGAAGCAGCCCAGGAAGGCCTTAGTTAGCACTGTCTTGAAGGTGAGTTATGGGTCTACGTACCCAGAACACTAGAAAGCAAAATTGAGCACAACATTCTGCAGCTTTATATCTTATGCAAACTGAGCAAAGGTGCAGAACTTCTCTATGCATAATTTATTCTGTTGCTGTCAAGAGATGTACAGATGCCCCATCTCCTTTCCATAAACTTTCCAAGAAAATCTTCACAACATTCTTTTTTAAAAAGCGAACACTGAGATTCTTTGGAAGTTGAATTCTATACCAAATAACCCATATTCTATATTTTTCTGCACTTCCTCAAACTCCAAGCTAGCACAGAAAATCTCCCGCCCCCCTCCAATCAGGCATAGGTAAATCATACACAGTTGGAGGCCCTGGTTTTCTGCGTGCCTAAGATCCAAAAATGCAGTTGTCCACATATCTGTAGGACCAGCCCTGCCCTTTACACAGGGATGACTGCAGAATCCACTTTCAAAGTACTTTTTGCTGTTCTGATAGCAGCCCTTTTGTCAAGTCCTCACTTTCTTACATACATATATGCCATCAAGGTGCAATCAACTTGTGATGACCCCAGAAAGGGCATTCAAGGAAAATGAGGAACAGAGGTGGTTTGCCATTGCCTTCCTCTGCAGAGTCTTCCTTGGTGGTCTCCATTCTAAGTACTGATGGTGCTTAGCTTCTGAGATTTGACGAGATCCAGCTACACTGTGCCACCTTCTCTCCCCCTCATTCTATTATAGGACTGTATATTTGGACTTCCACCAATGTTCCCTCTAAGCTGTGGAGTCTTGTGAGCAAAAATGCTACTTTGTGAGCTACTGGCATTAAAGTTGTGAGCGAGCGATTTGGCTGCTGCATAAATTAGTTTGCTCTGGAGCCCTCCTTTCTGAGCTAAGGCAAAAATGTGTGAGCCGGAGGCTAAAAAACTGTGAGCTAGCTCACACTAACTCAGCTTAGAGGGAACACTGACTTCCACCATTCTTTCCTGTTGCAGTTGCTTGCTCACCTTTTTGGATGCGAGATATTCCATGCCCCTGGCAACTTGATACGCACAGGACACCAGGTCTTTGAAGGACAGCTGCTCTTCTGGGACATGGGTAGGGTTGTAGCAGTATTCCATGCCTGGGGGCCGCCGAGCCTGCAGGTATTCCCTCAGGTTCCCTTTGGATGCATACTCCACTATTACATAGAGTGGGCCTGAGGCAGAGAAAGGAATGCAACCTTAGATCAAATTAAGACACACAAGAGACTCCTGCCATTAAGAGTCCTGTTGTCACTTCTGGTAGGCATTCTGAGTTGCAGCCTACAGCAGGCAGAGACAGAAGGGCTTCTGCTAGAGCAGGAATAGAACATTTCCCCCCTTTAGTGTTAGGGCCTGACGGTCACCCAAGTGTGGCTTTTCACTTTTGTGCTGAAGTATAGTCTGTTCTTCGCTCTATAGGACACAGGCCTTTTGGTTTGTAAGGGAGGTGCATTCTCTGCAGAGAACTGATCTTTTTGTTTTCCCCCTTCTCCATAGCACTCTTCTAAACATCCTTGAGACGATCACATCCCTCTCCATTCTCTGTTCCCCTTGGCTATTCTCAAGTGTGAATACATGAAGCTGTCCCCCCCCCCCCCAGTCCAACCATTAGTCCATTCAGCCCACTTTGGCCTACTTCAACTGGCAGCAGTTCTCAAACAGGTCTTTCGGAGGCCCACTACCATTTAACTGGAGATGCCAACCAATGGAGCATCTTCTTTCCCATGGGATGCCAAGCCCTTACCATCCTGCGTGCAAGCCCCAAGGAGGTTGATGATATTCTTGTGCTTGCCAATCATCTTCATCATCTCCATTTCAGAGATCAAGTCAGACAGATCCTTTTCAGTGGCATCAGCTGAAAAATAAAAAGGTACAGGTTTTAACAGATGAGGATCAAAACTAACCTGGGAACAGGTAAGTGGAGCAGATGCAGCCATCCTCCAAGCAGTCTTCCTCCAGTGTAGGAAGGCTTCCACCAACTAAAGCGGCTCTTCCGCCAATGGAACAGTCACAAGTGGGAACGAAGCTCCTTAGATTGGAGGAAGGCTTCAGACTTGAGCCAAAGAAAAATGTGGGGTATAAATATTTTAATAAATAAATAAACTTTGTTCAGGGGAGTGGTAGGGTAGGAGTAGCATCCACCTCAGTAACTAGAAGTTGTTGTTGTTGCTTCTGTTGTCAAGTCACAGCTGACTTCTGGCAACCCCATAGAGTTTTCAAGACAAGAGGCGTCCAGAGGTGGTTTGCCATTGGCTGCCTCTGCGTCACAACCCCGGTATTCCTTGGAGGTCTCCCATCCAAATACTGACCAGGGCAGACCCTGCTTGCTAGCCTGGGCTATCCAGGTCAGGGAGTAACCAGAAGACCTTGTGCCAAATCTGGCCCCTCTGCTGCCTGGCCCTGAAGGTGCCAACCTAGAGATGAAGGTAATACGAAGAAAGCAGAGCTTATAGCCACAACACTTGTTGACAGGCTACTTTAGTGGGACTGGTGTCGTAGCTCTGGCTTTCCATCCTTTCATTCCCACTCAGAGCAACTCTGCAAGAAAAGTAGTGGACGGCCACAGAACAAGAGAATTGGCAACAAGGACTGCAGAGGCTTCAGAGCCCATTTTCCCCATGACCGCATCCTTTAGAGGAGCTCTTGGCCAGCAGGCACATACAGATGCATTTTTGCAGCAGACTGGAATGGTAGCAGACAGACCGAAGTTGTCATCAGCTGTGACAGTACGGCTGGCATCCTTGCTGGGAATGAGATAGACCCGGGAGGGCCAAAGGGTAAGAGAAGTTTTTAGGAGACAGGCACCTAACCAACAGCAGTGGACTAGGACAACAGTTTCTAAGCGGTAAAATGGGGGCACACAGAGAAAAGGGGGGCAGAGGGGATGAAGTATACTTTCAAAATTAAGCCACCATCTTGGATACATACTTCTCCTTAGACCCTTAAAAATAGAAGGTGCCTTACAGCAACAACCTTCCCTCCTTCCAAGTCTTGACAGTTAACATCATTTTGAGGAAGGGACTAATGGTCTGCCAGGATTCCTGGATGCAAGCTGCTTCACAGTTGACAGCCTTAAAGCATCACCAGTGTCCAGAAAGCCAGTCCCTCCCACCCCTTGGTATCCTGATTTACCAAATACCAGGAAGCAATACTAACTGGGCTGTCCTGCAATCCTCCACTGTGCTGGGACCTCACTGAGAATATATTGCAGTGCAAGTAACTGAGCCCAAACCTTCATACTGTGACACTAACTCTGTGCCAACTCACTGAGCATATTTAAAATGGGCCCTCCTAGCAGCACCTTCTGCAGTCGCCCTACACTCTGTTCCATTTCCTTATTGGTCATTCATTGTCATCCTCATCATCACAAGAAGTACCTATAAACAATTAAACATTGTGTAGAGTTTAAAAGAAACCTTCCAAAGTAAAACACGGAGACCATGCCAGAGTTGAAATAATTAAGTGCAAGGGAGAAAAATCCCAACAATCAGAATGTCTTGTCATTTTGTATGTTACTTTAATAAAAAGTTATTTGTGGCACACTCCACCTTTCAGGAGCTTCATTCGGTGTGGGATAGCCACCTCTGTTTTCTGTAATATTTGAACAAAACAAGGCCCTTTCCTGCAGGCGTACAAGTGAGGTTAAATCCTCACCCCAGCCACACATTTACTAGGTCCCTTTGGGCAAGCCTGTTCCTCAGCCTCAGTTCCTATAGCTCCTGTATCTTGACCTGCCTTACGCTGCTTCTGTAATGATTACTGGGATAATGGATGTGAAAGCACTTTGGAAATTCAGGAATGAGATGGGTATTGGGAAGGAAACAGGAGGAGAAGCCACAAAAGAACAACCCCCCCCCCGAGTCATTACTCACACTTCAGCATCTTCACAGCTACTTTAGTCACACGGTTTGGCTTGTCCTTGTCCAGACCTATTGCCTCAGCCAGCACAACCTGTCCAAAGCAGCCTTCTCCCAATGGCTTCCCCAGGATGAGCCTAGAGTAAAAAGGTTATAGGGTGACCATCCAACTTTGCATCAGTGAAAACTCACTATTGCCACCTGGCAAGCCAAGCGTCAACATTCTACTTAACCATACAGCAGTGCAGAGCTCTCGTTTTTAGTTTCTACTTGATTACCCCCAACTACACACTTAAGGGAAATCCCCTTACTATTCCTCTTGGAGAATGTTTGCAGATACTTCTGGGTTCCCCAATCTGCATCTCATCATCTGGGTCTGAGAAAGAATTCTTCCCTCAAGACACAGTAATTAGTGGTGGGGAATGAGTGTGGGTTTGGGTTTGTTTGTTTGGCCTCCTTATAACAGTAAGATGTTTGCCTGGAGCAGCAGAGTCATTTATTTCAGTACTTTATTTGTTGCACATTTTCCTGAAGGACCAAGCAAAAGTTTAGGACCAGACATGATGGATAGTTCAGAAACTGATTCTAATCAAACCATGGAGAAATAAATGGTATCTATAAGACTTAGAACTCGGTCAGGATTGTATCACTGAAGCCTGCAGGGTGTGGGGTCACTTAACTCTGTGCACAGAAAACTAGAGTGCCAGGGAAGAGGGTTCAGTCAAGCCTTCTTTCTGACTTCTTGTCCATGTGCAGGGACTTTTTGACACAGGGAGCATTCAAATGCACAGTACTACCCCCCCCCCCAAGTGGTACATTCCAGGGAAGGCTTTACCACGTCATTATTTGTTTTATTCTACTGCAGATATAAGCTACTTATGACCTCTCACCAAACTGAACGTGGCTCACTAGCCATGTCCACAGAAAAAGTCAGCTTGCTGGTCCTCCTTCATAGGCGGAAATGCTTTGCTTCTTCCAACCTTTGCTTGTTCCAACAGGCACAGTGAAATGAAGGAATGAGGTCAACGGACTCAAAGCCTTCCCTTACAGCCAATGCTCCCTCTAAGCTGTGGAGTCCTGTGAGCAAAAATTCTACTTTGTGAACTACTGGCATTAAAGTTGTGAGTGAGCGATTTGGCTGCTGCATAAATTAGTTTGCTCTGGAGCCATCCTTCCTGCGTGAAGATAAAAATGTGTGAGCCGGAAGCTAAAATCTGTGAGCTAGCTCACACTAACTCAGCTTAGAAGGAACACTGCTTACAGCCATCCAGGTTCAAGGGTCAGTAAGTTGTTCGAAATGACACTGCCCCAGTCAAACATGCCAAGGGTAAGGAGGAGCTTGTTACCTGTCTCTGGGAAGCTCCCAGCGAGGGTCTTCTGGCAGCTCATACTCAGAAACACCTGCCAGCATTGGGGTCCCACTGGAGGAAAGCCGCGAGGGACGGACAAGCATCACTCCAGAGTTCATGGAGGAGCTCGAGTCAGCTGACACCTGCAGTGGAAGGAGGGAACAGTGGGGTTACCTTTGGCAAGGGACCCAGAACCAGGTTTTGCTCTGGTAGGGAAGAGAACTGTCAAACTCTACAAATAGTTTTTCTTCTTGGAAACTGGGTTCCTACTGCTGCTGCAAACAAACTTGGAAAGTATTTTCCTGGATGCATCCCAGCTGCAGAAGTGTCAACTCCCTCGACCTATAGCCTGGCTACTGTAGAGGAATTCAGAAAGCTGCCAATATTCTATGATCCGTACCCTGGACGTTTGGTACTGGGCACTGCATCTGGCATCTTAAGAATTCCATACTTATGAAAGAGAATGATTTAGTCCCTACGGCTGCAGAGATTTGGTTTGAAAATTGTATGGCCAATGCCTGTTAGAGGCAGGGCCTAAACAGATTTTCCAGTGTGCAGCAGGGCAAAGAACAATATACGCAAAAGGCTTAATTCGCAATTACATATGCAGGTGACAGAATTCAGTTTTTCTTGGTTTTCAGTGCAGCACAGTAAAGCATTCATTCAAAATGCTATGCAAATAATTATGGTAAAAACAACAACCACTGTGCAAGGGATGGCCAAAGCTCCTGCTGCCCAAATCTTAACACGATGCTACGCAGCAGCCCCCCATTTGCCCTTCCATGTTCTCCATAGCCCTGCCAGCTTTGACCTCTTTCCCCTGCTCCTACATGCAGTGAGAAGTCCCGGCTGCCACTGCTTCCATCTTCCACCCACCTTGATCACCCCTCTTCCTTCCACCAGCTACCAATGCCTCCTCCTACTCCTCCTTGGCACTGCTTCTTTCTCCTGGACTACTGTGGTTCCCAACATGGCTGGGGGAAAGGATTGGCAAGGTCAAACTTGCAGTATTCCCACAGTTCACAATGACACCCAGTTCCAATCTGCTTCTTTTCTTTCAGAGCCTTCCAAGTGCCTGGGAGGCAAAGCAGTCTCCAACACAGGCCTACAGATTACCACCTGTCCAACTGAATGCAGTCCACCAGGCCAGGTGCTTGACAATCCACTTATTTATGCAGTCTCAACTCTTCCCCCAAAATGGGAGGCATCACGGACGGCTACAGGGCTGGATCCCATGGAAGACTCCCAAGTGCATAACAGCCCTTGTGCCAAGGGAAATGCTAAAATTACTTCGTGCTGCCTGATCGAAAGCAACTGTGCTTCCACTATCTTTCCTGCATGTGCAAGACAACACATGAAGTATTTCTTCTGATTCAATTTCAAAACTAAGTTAAACAAAACCCCATGAATCATCTATTGTATGTTCAACTGCTGCATGTGCATGCTGTTGTTTTTTGTTTTAAACATTACATTAATGTGCTACATGTTGCTGCAGCTGTTGTGCTGCTGCTTGTGAAAGCAGAACTGCGCTAAATTCATTTTTGTTTCTGCTCCTGCGTCGCCAGATCCATCCCAACCAAATTCCTGTAGTGCATTCATTTTGCTGGGACACAAGCTGTGGAGATCTGCTTGAGCCTAATCTGGAGTGTCAGAGACCAGAGTCTGCTCATACCTAATCTTCACCGAAACAGCCTAGGAATGTCCATGACATGCTCCCCTTTCCACATATAAAAAGCATACCAAGGGCTGCCAATCTATATTCAGCAAATCTGGCTATGCCTGCAGGGAAGACTCTCCAGAGGGAGGGCTAATAGCATGCAATCAAACCCCCTATCTACTTTCTGTTACCTGTCTGCGCAGGGGGATGCTCTTTGCCAGCTTATGCACAGCCAGCTGGCTGTTGAAGTCCGTCTTCTTGGTGGTGCTCTTCATCTTGTATAGGATGACGGTTACAATCATGCAGGAGATGAGGAAGCCCCCTGTGCAGTAAATTATGATCTCCAGGTACAGAGGGGAGGTCATCATAGCAGGCTTGTCGTCAATATCTGGATCGGCGTGAGGAAGGCGTTAGTGCACCAAAGCTCCCAAAGGCAGTAATTTAACAACCATAGAGAGGCAAAAAGCAAGAGGGGGGGGGAAGCAGCTTTGCACCTAGGAGAAGTAAGATGGGGGAACTCTCATTCTCCCTCTGTGCTAAAAGGCATCATCTGCCCTCAGTTCCTGTGGAAAGCAGATGTATATTTGGGATGTTTTCCCAAATATATAAAAAGGTGCACAAGTAGACTGAATGGCTTCTCCAAAGCCAAGCCAAGCGGAGGAAGTACCCTTGGCTTATAAGACGTAGAGGGAGATCTGAGAAAAGGGCCACTTACTCTGAAGGTTTCCTTGTTCCCTGTATGCAAGCCTAAATTCCCATCTCTGCAACCTAAACGGACCCACCACTTAATGGCTTTGCAAGTCCAGCACCTAGTTTCACTTCTTATTCCAGACGCTTAGTTCTAAATTTCACAACAAGAACAAAGCCCCAGAATTTCACTATCAGACTAAAACAAAAACTGCAGTCAGGGAAAAACTCAAGCCTCCAACAGAGGGCAAGGATGCTTGGTTACACTTTGCCTGCTAGCTTTCCAGACTTTGTACTGTAACTGCATTAAGTCCTTGAGATATCTCACCATGTCAAATCCCAACCTAACACAATAGGGTGCTGGAGGGAGAATCAGTATGGTCCTTATACAGAAATGCTAGTTAACAGAGAAGAAATAGATGCTGAAGCAATAACACAAACTGTGTTCGTGATATCATCTGGAGTGAATGCAATTGCAAAGACCAGAAAAGCAATGTGCTCTATGGAAAAGATTACAAAAGACTGAGGTTGTCTGTACGACTTAGGGCAGAGTAGCAACTGTATGGGAACATACAGAGAAGGAGTGTTCAGTTAAAGGTGATTCAAATTTCAATTTGTCTTTGACTTTCCGCCCTTCGTTTTTGGAACACCCATGATAGGGTAGGGCCACATTGCTGAAGCCAATCTTGAACCATATTGGCAACACCTACAAAAACATGCTTCAAAACCTATTATTTTCTATTACCAGCTTTGTCCTATTGTCTTTTATAGGCCTTGCTGAGAAATACTGAGCAATGTGTTCTGTAAGAGTGGTGGCAAATACCTTGCCTCAGGCTCTGCTTGTTATAACTAGCGACTTTACACTTGCTTACATAGAAAACAGTCTGTCAAAAAGCTGGCATCGTAGCCAGAAACATTTTGTAAACGTGTTATTCTTGAGTCTGGAGAGGTTACTGTAGTTGAAATGAAAAAACAAACCAACCGTATTTCCCCACCTCATTGTCCTCCCCACCCAACCCTGCCCCTCCAAGAAAATACAGCAAGAAGAGACTGAGATTGTAGGATGACTGATGGCCATCTGACCAGAAAGAAACTAGCACCATCTTAACCCTGTTCAGATCGCAGGACTCTGAACAGCTACAGGCTCGACAAAGGACAGAAGAAGTGGACAACGCTGAAAGTTTTCCATCGTATGTGCAAGACTCACACCCACTGGCACACAATTCAAAAACTTTCTGACGTCTTATCAGTTCTTGTCGGCCAGTGGTTGATGCCTGAAATATTGACTCAGCATCAACCAAGCAGGGCTGAGAATGAGCCCTCAAAGCATGCAGCACATAATCCAAGAGAAAGAGAAATAAAACAGAAGCGATAGCAGAGTTTTGTACTTGGCAATAGCAGGTTCCATTCCCATCCAGGGCAATGCCATGGAGAAACGAAGCCATATTCAAGAGCCTATGGGAAAACTAGCAAATTGATATTTGAGAGCCAATTTTCTGTTCTCAGTATGGGGCAGGATGCGACCGGAAATCAGTGCTCCCATTTCCTTGTGTTCAGAAAAGCCCCATTATGAATGGGAGAGAGAGTGTGGTATAGAGTGTCTGACCAGAGTCTGGGAGATCCAGGTTCGAATCCCCACTGTGCCATAGAAGGTCTCTGGATGACCTTGGGCCAGTAACTCACTCTCTAAGCCTAATTTACCTCATAGGGTTGTTGTTATAAGAATACAAGGGAGGAGGGGTGAGTGATGTTGTAATCCTCTGTGGGTCCCAAGTAAATATACTGTGGGTCCCAAAGTATAAATAAATAAATACTATCAAATCCAGGTTCTCAAGGGCTGAGCATGTATAGTTTACCTCTTGCTTGTGGCAGCCACTTCTTCTGACCTCTAGGTGGATGTAAAAAGAAACAAAACCAGAAAAGAGGCTGAAATTGCCTAGGAGAATGGAACCGGCCTATTGAAAAACATGGGCTCAAACTCCTGCTTAATTAAGAGTTATAAATTTAAAATACCTTGGTTTACAAGAGCCACTGGGTATGCAGATGGACTGCCCAAATTTGGCAGAGGAAGGGAAGTGAGCAACCAGAAAATATTGCTCGCTATAAAGGCTTCTTACTTTGAATCTGGTCTGGCATAATCAGGGATGTTTCAGCCACACAAATGCCAATTAGATCTGTTGCAAACTTAGTTCCCTTTCCTAGCAGGGAATTGCTTTGTGGAGACACCCTTCCCTTCTCTGAAGAGGGCTGGGCTCTTGGAAACCACAGCATACACATCACCAGATCTGGAGAGGGAAGCAAGGAGAAAGAGAAAGGAACAGAAACAGTATATACCTTCCAGAACCGTCAACCATGCAGAGTGGTGGGAGATCCCAATAGAATTACCCGCCAAACATGTATACTGCCCTGCATCCTCAAACGAGACATTCCTTAAGTGAAGGACTTCCATTTCTTTGTCTGTTGTGTTAACACCAGCAGTCTAGAAAGGGGAAAAATGGAAGCAAATAGGACCAGGAAACGTAAGACCCTTTAGGAACCAAGGAGCAGGAGGAGGATGGAGGGGGAAATAACATGCCCTGAGACCTCCTAAAGGAGCACAGACACCACTGCAGATCTATTATTACAAAGAGCCTTAGGACAACCTCTGATCCAGGCTGGCCTAAAGAGGCAATGTTAAAAAAACAACAACAACCCTTCACCAAACTGAATTTCCCTGCCCATCTGAACATGCTGGTGATGGGCCACATGGAAAAACTGACCTCAGGGAGGAGGGCCAGCTTAGTTTCACAGGGAGGGAATGAGTAAAGAGAGGGGTGGGATGGAAAAAGAAGAGAAGAGCAAGAAGATCTGAGTATAGAACCGACATGCAAGGAGGACTGGAAGAAAGGTCACACACCATTTCCAAATGGGCCAGCTTGGAACAGGGAAAAGCAAGAGTTGTTGCATTTCCTCCCTCTCTCTGGAGGAAGAACAAAAAATCAAAATCAGCTGTGCAACAATTAGGGTTGGCAAGTTTTAATAAATTTAATTGGCAGAATTAACTAATCAGTGATGGCCAATTTTCAACTGGTTGAGCTGCACATTAAGATCACAAACATGCAACCGACAGTGAGATTTTGGCAGCATGCAAATATACTTAATAGATTCCATTTTTAAAAAAGGGGGGGAAATCAAATGATTGAAGAAATTGTAATTATTTGATTGGTTGACAACCCTGGCAAGGATACAAGCTGATGCAACAGCCCTCAGCTTGATGCTTCAGGATGAGGATTTGGGGGAGTTTTCCAATTGGAGTTTAATCAATACAGCATGAAGGAAAAGAAAGGCTGAATGAACTATTATAGGAGAAGGAACAGAAAAAGGAGGGCACAAAACTCAGCTGACCAGCCCCCTCTGAGGATTTTTCCATGGCTTACGGCACCAGAAACAGAGCAGAAACAGGAGAGCCACCAGAGTTTGGTTTTTTCCCACCACTAAAAGGACCGACTGTCCAAGCAAGAGCCACCAAAGTGGTGTTCTTCCCGTTTACCTGCAGCCATGGGTCTGGTGACGGTGAGCCACGCAGACTGGTTAGCCTCACCAATATAATTGGAAACCTTACAAACATACTCCCCGCTTTCAGCCTCTGTCACATTATACAGGGTCAGCACCTCCGCATCGGAGCTATTAATTCCCGAATGCTAGAACAGACCAACAACAGAGGAATTACTCGGTGGCGAGCAGATGGGCATCATAGCTCCGAGATCAACAACAAGAAATCACATTAGCATTCCCTGTGACTTTAAGCCAAAAGCAAGGGGCACACCCGTAAGCCAACTGGAGACTCTCGTCTTCTGCAATCCATGGAAGGGCAAGGATTGCGCCTCCCTGTCCTGCTCACAATACTGTTGGTAACAAATGAGCAGATATCTATATATCTAATAGCCAAGTTGCCCCCTCCGTGCGGATCGCTAAATCAGCACGGAGGGGGCAGCTGGGGGGGAGGGGGAGGTTTGTGCACACGTGGGCCAGTCCCCACGTGTGCACAAAAATAAAAAAAGGTAAAAAAAATTTCGGGGGGATGTTTAAATCCCCCCAAAAGTGCAAGAAGACGCTCTGCAGCTGGCCTCGCCGCCGCCGCGCCGCCTCCTCGGAGCGAGCGAGCGAGGGAGGGAGCGAGCCAGCCGGCAGGGAGGGAGGGAGGGCAAGGG